TGCCTGGGCAGCTCAGTTGGTTAAGCATCTGACTTCGGCTCTGGTCATGATCTCAGTTCATGGGTTTGAGCCCTGTGTCAGGCTCTGTGCTGACAGCTTGGGAGCCTGAAGCCTGCTTCAGATTCTGTGTCTCCCTCTCTCTCTGCCCCTCCCCTTCTCATGCTCGGTCTCTCTCACTCCTTCTCTCTCTCAAAAATAAAAAAAACATTTAAAGAATTAAAAAAAGAAGAAGAAGATTGACAGAGCCAATTGGGATGTTTTAGGAATCAGTAAGGGTAAGGCTATAGGAAACACCATCTCTGGGTGGGGTAACTTGTTAAGAGTCACATCTGGTGCAACCCTGGCCACACCAGGCTGAAGCAAGGGAAGATGACACCATACTGTTTTACAAGACTTTGATTTCTCTATTATTCTGGTTACCCTAGGGAGACCCCAGGTACATGGACTGGGGTGTCAAAACTAGTAAGAAAAATAAACAGGATGAAACTATTTTATTAGTTCATCTTATCTGTTCATGCAGAAAATATCTATTGAATATCTATTACACTCCCAGTCCTGGGGCAGCAACGTTTATAAGGTGAGTGGAAGAGAAATAGGGAAAGAAGCCTTTCTCTCAGATATCAGAGAGTCACAGAGTCACAGGAAGAGTTTCAGAAGTAGAGGGTGGTAAGCATCACTTGCTTTGGGGATGCAGTAGGATAAGGACCTAAAAGCAGGCTAAGAAGGAGGTCACTGGTACACAATGTACACAGGTACACTGGTAATAAGAACATTTTTTTAGGTAGTAGAAGCCAAAGTATAATGGTTAGAAAAATGACTGACAGTCAAAATGCATACTATTCCCTCAAAAAGTGTGTCCATAAGGAAGAAGGGAGTAAGAAAAGTTGTTTTGTGATTTCACTAAGTAGAGATGAGAGAAGCGCAGAGCTGGCTCCAAATGAACATCCACCAAAGAGAAGGGCCAAGTGATGAAGCAAAATGCTAAAGAAGAGGGTGGTACTAGAACCCAGAGTGAGCCTGGAAAAGCAGAACTGCTCTTTTCTCTGAAACAGGAGGAAAGACAAATGCTCCTATAGATAAGTCTCTATGTAGAGAGGAGAGCAAGAGCCTACCTGCCAGCCTTAGTGTTTTTGAAATGAGGGGCAGAGTTATCCTGTACTAATACCTGGTACACAGCAAGTGCTCAATAATAATCTTCTAAAGGAATGAATCCTGGGGCTGCAGATAACCCACTCTAGGAGCCTAGAGTATAGTCCCTGACAGGATCACTACTCCAAGCTACGACCTTCCTCCGCTCTACCTCTAACCAGTTTGTCCTCGTCTCAGATCGAAGGGTGAGCTTCAAGCACACAATGTTTGCACAAAGGCAAGCATATGCATGCACATTAGCTTACACACACATACACCCTATATATCCAAGAGAAAGAAGGGCTCTTACAGGCTCACCTAGAGCCTGAGAGGATTAAATACCGCAGTCTGTTATTGGTAAGGCAGAAACACAGTACCTTGATGAAGCAAAGATAGACGCATTGAGGCCCCCAAAGCAGGACAGGGCAACGGCAATAGGAATGGTCCAGCTGAACATGCCAAATGTCTGGTCAGCAAATGTCTGAGGGCAGAGCACAGAAGGCACTCAGCACAGGACAGGCTTTCATAAGCCTCCTGTACCTATGCTATCAGGACAAATGCCATCACTACTGAGCAGCCCACCCACCCTCTAACCTAGACCCATCATCCCACCCTGCAGAACTGGAATGGCTGCAGAAAGAAAGATTGAGCCATTCAGTATGAAAAGGTGATGAGCAAATGGGTACTCACCACAGCCACAGCATCACTGTCAAGGACATCTGAAATGTTCAGCACTGTGTAATAGGCCACATTGGTCAGGATGTAGATGAGCGTCACAATTGGCATAGAAATCCCAATGGCCAGGGGCAAATTTCTGTCAGGACAAGTGAGACAGGACTACCTAGAATCAACTATCCTTGGAGTCAAAAAAAGTTAACCCAAGGATTTTTCTGAAGTTTAACAGTTCCCTGGTTCTAAATCTTTGAGGCAGGCTCCTCTTCCCCACATGGTCAAAGATGGATATGAATCCCATGCCCTTTCCATGGAGAAACAGAGAGAGCGAGGGAGAGAGGGAGAAGCAGAGGGGGAGGGAGAAACCCTTCTCTGTGAGGATAGCTGGGGATCAGTATTTGATCCTCACCACAATAGGACCAATGGACCCCAATGAAGGAGGAGCAGTGTCCTCCAGGGACTGGAGGTCAGGCTGGGGAACTGGCTGCCCAGAATAAGCTCCTGGCTCCTCAGGCCTCAGTGTCAGCACCAGAGACGAGGTTCTAACACCTTAGCCCCAGCTGGGTCAGCTACTGCCCACTGAAGGACCTCTCCTTGAGCAAGGACCCTGGGGATCCTTCAGTGTAAACCTGAGGGTGAGGAGCCAGGGGCTTTCCCACCTTCACTCATTCCTAGCTTACCCCCTAATTCCTCCAAGCTAGAAAAAGGGCAGTAGGGAGAAGAAGAAGGAATGAGAGAAAGAGAAAGGAGGAGAGGGAGGAGGGCAAGTGTGCCCACTATTAGCAGGAGTTCCAGCCAAATTGGGGGGAAAGAGTGTGATCCCACCATTACCTTTCTGGGTTTTTGATTTCTTCTGTTACAAAATTAAGGGTGTCCCAACCTGAGTAAGAGAAGAGGGCAGAGTAGAGGGCGAGAGAGAGGTCTCCCATGTCCCAGGAGGAACCCTCAAAGGCATCCTGAAAGTGCTCAGAGTGTCCTGTGGGGGCAAAGGCAGATAGGGGAAGGGGTTCAGGGAGAAGGAAGAGGAAGAAGGAGGGGAGAGATGGAAGGTATAGGGAGAAGAGGAAGAACAGGGAGAGGCAGTAAGAAAGAGGAAGTGAAGAGGGGAGAAAAAAAGAGGAGGGTCAAGAAAAGAAGGGAAAAGCAAGCGGGCAGAGGGAAGAAAAAAAACATAATTTAACACCAAAAGAACAACCACCAGCTCCCTGTACTTTATCACCCCACCCACTCCCTCAAGAAAGTTCATATTCCTTTAGCAAAATTACACAATCTCAGAAAAACAAAAACATTCCTGGCTGCCTTCTGAAGTGATAACACCTTTTCCAAAGCTCTGCTGAATTTCCAAGTGACCTCACGGTAGGCCAGAGTTCTTCCTATTTTTAGAAATAACCCTGTTTTACATTTTTAACTAACAATTAGACCTTCCTGTGGAACTATCTCTTTTGGCCAAGACCACTGCACAATGTGGTCAAACAGTTTTCTCATTCTCATGGAGGGAACTCTGTTGCTCTAATTGCAGGGGCTGCGGTTGCATGCAGCAGGAAATCACAGGCTATGTAGGAACTGGGGTCTTCTTATCTCTCACTGCGCCTGGGGTAGGCCTAAGCCACTTCCACCCGTGGAGAGCCAGCCTAGGCACCTGTTGTTCTCCTTGGAGGCATCTGGAGCCCCCACAGTTGAAAGCCAAGGGAGCAGCACCCAGTTGCCCAGAAGAGAGACCTTCTAGACACACTGGAGGTTTTTTAAACAAGATCCATACTTTTTTTTTTTTTTTCTTACAAGATCCATACTTCTAAGGAAGCCTGCTGTAATCCCCTGCAAAAAGCAGACCTATTCCTTTAATGTATCAAAAAGGGATGGGTGTGCAGCAAGAGAAGGGAAAATAGGGGTTTTCATGCCCGAGAGGTGTCAGTCATCATTCACAGCAGTGGTTTCCTAAGGCACAGATCTTGGTAGGAGGCTAATTCAGCTACCCAATTTGACCTGAGATGTTCCTGAGACTCCAGGGACATCCAGATGGCTGGCTGTACTAACTTGGCACATATGCCAAGGTACTGGACCAGAATCACCGAAGGCACTTGAAAACAGAGCTTTCTGAATTCCAAAACCAATAGATCTGAGAAGGGGGTCTCACCTCTCCCTGGTAAATGTAAACACAGCTGAGTTTAGAGACAGACAATATAGAACTGGGTTGCTAAGTAAGTGATTGAGATATCCTTGGCCAAAGACACCACAGGACTTCCCTAAGAGCTCAGGAGACCTCATGAGGCCTTTTACCCTCCCTGCTAGTTTACTCTGATTCAGGAATGAAAAGCTTTCCTAAAGCCAACATGTAGGAAAGCCAGTGCTTCATACTATTTTAATATTTTGCTGAGAGCTGACTTTGGGTTCAAATGCTAAATAAAAGCAAAAAGTAAAGACTCCAAAATAACCACTCATTTCTACATTCCATCCACCTTCTATGCACACCTTCCCACTCCTCTCAAGGAGGGCCAAGTCTTCCTACTTGCTGCCTGGCAGTCACAGACCAAAAACAGGGCCACAGCAGGGCTCACTCTATCCCCATCAGCTACATTTATGACCCAATTACACACAACCCAGGTTTCAAGAATTCCTAGGCTCTCAGCTGCCTTCTTGCAATGTTCCCAGCCTCCACAAAGGGAAAACAGCCCTGCGAGAGGGACTGACTCGTGTTCAGTTGGCCAAGCCAGCCTGGTCCAAGGAGCCCAGGAACAGATGTCTTACTCTCAATGACAGTCTAGGATATACATAGAATGAGCTGATCAGTTAAGCCAAGATTTCCCATGTCCTCCTCAGGAAATCCACACAAATTCCTGGAGTCATTCACCCTCCTTCCAAGCCCAGGCCCATCTTACCCTGGCACAGTTTAACGAGGCCCATGACAATGATGGCAATGAGCGCTAAGACCTTGGCATAAGTGAACGTGTCCTGCACACGTGTGCCCCACTTGACATAGGCACAGTTGACAAATGTCAGCAGACCTAGAAGGAAAAACATAAAATCACTGGCAGGCTTGAGCTGAGGGCACAGTGACCCAACCTCTCCTTAGAGAGCATCACTTCTGCCCTAACTAAAACCAAAGGGGCCAGTGATCGAGTCAGAACCACAAGAACAGGCAAATGGAGGGACATCCACAATCTGCCCAGCACTGTTGACAAGTTAAGATACAAAGGCATGCATTAACACATATTCATTAATTCTGACAGCCAGAATCATTTTTGGAAATTGCACCCAGGCCCAGAAATAATGGATTTCACCCACCCTTCCCCACTCAGACTCCCAAGGTTCCAAGCCACCCAAGGCACAAAACATTTCCAAGGCCACATTAGAAAGTGGGGACAAGAGAGGTCCATCAATAAATGAGGTGAATTTAAATACAAGTGGCAAATCACCTACGAATTAGAGAGACAATGTTTTGCATGTAAGTATATATTTTTAAAAGCCTGTTATGTACCTGACAATTCCACATGCATCCTCCCGATTAATTCTCACAACCTTAAAATACAGGTGTTCCTATTCCCATTTTATAGATAAGGCTAACCACCATTCCTAAGCTTACAAGGACCCCCTCCCCATCCACCCCCTCCATTTCTATCCAAACCTCCTGATTCTCAGTGAGGCCCACGCAAAACGAAGCTTGCTTGGACATTCTCTAGGCTCCTGTCTGCACTACTGGCTTTACGTTCCAGCTCTTCGTGGACATCAGTGATATCTGGGCCCTATGCAGAGTGTCCCAGCACCTTACTGTTGCTAAACAGGGACTGCTCTGACCCACCAGGAAGACACAAGAACAGAATACAAGAGGCTCCACAGTGACACTGCTAAGTACTGCTCTAAGCCTCCAACAATAGAACTTTTATGTGAACCTCAAACATTATTACAAAATCTTTTGGGTTCATCCTCCAGGCTGCCTCCACCTACTCCTACCCATTTTGCACTCTCTCCTTCAGCCAGACTCTCTTCTTACTGGTGCCATATATACATTTAAAAGAAATGTCCTTTCTTCCTCCTCCTGCCACAGCCAACAACTCCCACTTTCAAGATCTAGCTAAATCCCCACCTCCTCTGTAAAACCTTCCCCAAATATACCAGGCAGCCCCTCACTGAGCTCTCTCTCCCTGAACCCTATGGCATTCCCACTTCACAGCACAGCTTAGTAACTCATGCTATGGTCATACGGACATCTGTCTCATGAAGGTCTCCCCCTTGGGCATGTGCCCATAGAAGACCACAACTATTAGGGGGAAACAAAAGCATATTGTTTTCTTAAGCTTATTGCCAAGCAAAGAGGGGAACTGATAAACTCTGGTTGGAATCAAGATGTTGATGAACTTTGGAGTGTCTGGGTGGCTCAGCTGGTTGAGCATCCAACTCTTGATTTCAGCTCAGGTCATGGTCTTTGCGGTTCATCAGTTCAAGCCCCATGTCAGGCTCCCCACTGACAGTGCGGACCCAGTTGAAATTCTCTCTCTCTGCCCCTCCCCACTTGCACTTGCACGCACCCACACACACTCTCTCTCTCTCAAAAATAAACATTAAAAAAAAAGATGGTGATGACTTTCACTTAATCACCAATTCCCTAGAGTGAGGCAATTGTCAGAAAGTTGACATTTCTCTACTCAGATGTGAGGAAGCCTAGAGCCTGTGGAAATAAACATGGTGGCTAAACAGCCTCCATAGCCCTTAAAGACCTTTCACTCAGTACTCTGGCAAATGATACAGGTGCTCACTAGTTAGTCATACGGGGGATGGAGGAAGGCAATGGTCAAAGAGGAGGGAAGGCCAAAGGAATGCATGCTGCTGGCAGGTCTTCCCAGGGACCTGCCCTGCTAATCCAAGTTCTCTGTGGGGGTTAAGCCTAGATCAGCTAGCATAAGGATTACCAAATTAATAGCCACCAGTAATCCGCAGACCCCTATCCAACACAGTAAGCATATTTTGAGGTATCTGCCAGGCCCCTTCTTGGGAATTGCCTCCCCCCCCCCCCCCCCCCCCCCACCTATCACAGCTGATCACCCAAGGTGAACCTATTCAATTGTCTTTCCCAGGAACACAGAGTGGGGCAGCAAGAAATGGAATCTATCTAACAGTAGCAGAGTTGGGAGACACAGCAAGTCGAAGGTACATACAGGCCCTTGTAACAGAGGAGCAAAAACCACAAAAAAGCAGAGGAAGGAAACAGAACTATGAAAAGAAGCAGAGGTGAGAGGGTGTGCAGCTTGTGAGAAAAAGACTAACAGAGAAAGGTGCAGAAATACACAGAAGACAGGGGAGAGAGAGATAAGAGACAGACCAAGAGAGACAGAGAGAAGGGACAAAAAGAGTGACAGACAAAAAGACGGACATACACACAAAGAAAGAGACTATCTCACGATGCCCTAGCTGTGCTCACCGTGCTTGTGCCTTACAGCACCAAGATGTGGCTGCAAGATGGGGGAGAAAAGAAGACATACTCCACAGCCCCACTGACAGGCACTCCCTCTCACTCCTGTTCCTTCTCCTTCCCTCCATCCTGCTACAAATCTCCCCCCTGGCTTGATCCTCTCAGCACAGAAGTAAATATTGCACATAGTGCAATTCAATGACTCCTGCCAGTAAGTGAAAGAAGGCAGCTCTTCGTGGAAATCCCCTCAGAGCCCCTTCTGAATGACAGCTGGAAAGATACAAAAGAGCCTGGTCACAGTGGTTGCCTCTGGGGAAGAAGACCAAAGCTCTGGTGAGGGAGAGACACTTTTTCCATTGTACACTGTTTTACACTGTTATTTACCAGGCATAAATGCTTCTTCCTCAGTAAAAATTAAAATACTTAATCTAAAACAACGTGTAGCCAGGGAGCAAGGCCAGAAGTAGGGTGAGGTAAGGAGGGTGTCTGGGACACAAAATTTAAGGAGGTGCTCACTTTCAGGATCGCCTGGAGAACCTCAGAATGAATGCATCCTTTTTTTCTTTTTTAAGTTTATTTATTTATTTTTTGAGACAGAGAAGGGAAGAGAGAGAGCAGGAGCAGGGGAGGGGCAGAAAGAGAGAGAATCCTGAGCAGGCTCTGCATCGTCAGGGCGGGGCTCATACTTACCAACTGCTAGATCATGATCTGAGCCGAAACCAAGAGTCGGACTCTTAACCAATGGACCACCCAGACACCCCCAGGTGTCTGGGGGACTCACCCCCAGAGTGAGTGCATCCTTAAATGCTGTCCCCGGAGCCTTACTTGCTTCACCATACTCTCAGCCCTGCCAGAGAACAGGGAGCTCCAAGAACAGTCTACCATATAGAAGCCAAGTCCCCTTAAGGTTTTCCTGATTTTAATTAAGTAAGAAACATATCACTATCTGATCCCACCCCTTCAAGCCTCCCCAAATTCCCAACCCCATCTAGCACCATAGATTCTGTCAGGGCTTAAGCACAAAGCTGAGCCTGGAGGCCAGGTGCTCAGACGCAACTACCACAATTACAACATCCAAGACTTCCCTCTTCTCCCGATCTCATTTCCTGGCTGGAAAGCCTGTACCAGCAAGTGTGGGGTCCATGTGAGGGTCTTCAGTCTCTAGGGGCTTTAGCAGATCCATACCCAACCCCAAAGCAGAAACAAATCCCTAAAGTCTCTCTGTGGCAAAAACTGCTAGTTATCTTCTAATATCTCTTCTTCCATTTTTTCCTTAGTAATAGAAATTTTAGCGTAGTCATGGCCGCCCAAAATAAAGTTGACATTTCCCAGCCTCTCTCCGCAGGCAGGTATGGCCAGATAACTAAGTTCTTGCCCCAGGGATGTAAGCAAACATTCATATAAATAAGACCTCAGGAAGTCTGTTTGAAGGGTAGCACATGCCTTTCTTTGTTCTCCGTATCAGCTACAGTGCAGACTTGACAGCTAGAGCGTGAGTAGCCATCTTGGACCTCCAGCTAGGAAGAAGTCGCATGCTGAAGATGGCAGAGCAGTGAAGCAGAAGGAAGGAACCTGGCTCCCCGAAAAACTATAAAGTCATCCTACCAGCCCCACAATGCTGTGAGAGAAATAAACTTTTAATATGTGAGAGAAATAAACTTCAATATATTTGAGCCATACTGCTTTCGGTTTTCAGTTGTTTGAAGCCGAAATTCATCCTGGATAATACATGTGCCCTACAACAGAACTGTGCCTCTCATATTCTCTTTCTGATGAGGAGATGACTTGGCAATCTGCAGCTATAGTCCCAGTTATGCTGATAGTCACAGCTCCCTTTTCCCACAGCAACAGGGAAAGGAAGGAACCCTTCCAATTCCTCCCACAAACAAGCTGGGTGTTACTAAGGGGCACTCAAGGACACAGGAGTGCAATCCTTAACAACAGCAGCTACAAGGCAGAAGAAGAAAAAAAGCAGGGGAGAGACCATCTACAAATATATTAGGAGAAAAATGTACAACAGTCCAGGAGAAGTAAACCCTTCCAAATGTAAATCCTGGAATCTGGAGTTACCTCTCAGGATGCATATGAATATGTCAGGTATATGCCTTGTTAAGAAACCCCCTTGTTTGTTTGCTTAAAGTTTATTTATTTATTTATTTATTTATTTATTTATTTATTTATTTAGAGAGAATATATGTGTGTGCTCATGAACAAGCGGGAAGGGGCAAAGAGAGAGAGGGAGAGAGAGAGAATCCCAAGCAGACTCCAGGCTGTAAACACTGAGCCCAATGCAGGGCTCAAACCCACAAGCCCTGAGATCATGACCTGAGCTGAGATCAAGAGTCAGACTCTTAACCAACTTAGGCACTCAGGCACCCCCTCCTTGTTTTTAATTACACAGATATACACATTTACTCTTATTATCAACCCATTCATGCTCTATACAGGGGTAGACTCCAGGGTCTTTGTACTGCTAAAGACCCAGTCCTTCTGAGGCCTGTCACTTTCAGAACATGAGAGCTGTCTATCCACAGCAACAACTGACCAAAAAAGGGGAGCATACCCTTCCTTCTCAGAACTCTGGCCATGCCAGTGCCT